GCCCTTATCACAATATACTGCTTTAGTTTTCAGCTCCTTTACAATCCGAATTTCCTTTTCGTTGCTGCGACTTTGTTCCGATCTGTCCTTGATTATGTTCGATGTGATAGTCCTTACCTATTCTGTGATGATGTTGGAAATGTCTTGGTAATCGTATGGCGAATTTTGTCACTTCATCAGTGAGTATATCAAATTGATTGCTCTAAGAAGTTTCATGAGATTGCCCGAAATAACCTTCTAGATTGAAATTACTTAAGCAGCTGTGCACTTGTCTTCAGTCTCGTATGTCTGTCTCGTACGTATGTCGTATTTTTTCTATTAAGCTACCATTTTACATTTTACACTTTTTTTAATCGAAAATGTTTATTCGAATTTTGTCTGGATGATGGATCAAATTGATAGCTCAAAGAAGACGAGGGATCAAGAGACTGCCCAAAATAAAAGCAGGTTCCGTCTACAGATTTTATACATAGATACATTTTTTAAACCCTGGACTTAATAAAATTAATAAATTAAAAACGTCGGACATTGATTAAACAAAACAATAGGGCCTTTCAAAAATTTCTCAGCAATAGAGAATTTCCAAGGACCTCAGGATTTCTAGACATTTGCAGGGTGGCCAGTGAACCTGGAATACCGGGAAAACCCCTCCCCTTGGCTAGTTTTTGGACCTTGCTGTTGGTGGGCGGGCTTAATTCCATGCTTTGTAGTGGAGTGTTGGAGACGGTAGATTTATGGCCGGCGTTGCTGGCTCATGCCGCGATAGAATGGCATCATGGGCAGGCAATGGGTATTACTAAGCTTCCCCTCTCTGATAAACCACTGCACGAGAGAACCAAAGATCTAGTCTAGCAGTGATAGTATCACACTTGTTACTCCTTTGATTGAGAGCCGCGTCGTAGTACGCTTACGTATAGGCACTGACGTTGGGTGCGATACTGGCGGGTTTTGCCGCAAATCACTGTTATTTTATTTATTTTTTTGCTGATAGATTTATTTGGGTTTGCAAGGATGAAATATTTCAGAAAGTGCGTGACAAGCTTTCATTGGTGTTTTCATTGAAGTATTACTCAGGAAACAATGTTAAACATAATTTTTGTACATGGTATTGTAACTAATCTTACATGTGTTTCATTTTGATTTGGGATAAGTGTTTGAACTATGGCTCGGGATTTCCACTGTGGCGTGCTTCTATTGTGACATACCCGTACGTATTTTTGTGGTGCGACATAGTGGAAGCGTGTGAGCATAGTTGGAGCATATACTCTATATAATTTAAAAATCAGCTAGGAAACTAACTTCAAAATGAAGCATTTTAGTCATATGAAGGTATTACCTGGGTCGAACTAAGATATAATAAATAGGTATAGGCCAAAATCAAAAGTACTTGAAACACGTTTAATTTTAGATTACAAACACAAGTGCAGGTAAGGTGATACTTTAGGGAAGCCTTAGCGTGGGGCTCCGGAGGCGCAGGTGTCGGGTTCCGCGGGGCATGCGGGTTTGAAGTTGCTATTCTCTGTTTGTAGTAGCACAGCAAGCAAGGATTAACAATTTTAAATTTGTGTGTTTTGTGGGGGCTGACATTTGTGCCTCCCTTAGCTCAGTCGGTAAAGGCGCAGCTACAAAGCAAGACCATGCTGGAGGTGGCTGGGTTCAATTCCCGGTCCGGTCTAGGAATTTTTCGGGTTGGAAAATTTCTCGACTTCCCTGGGCATAGAAGTATGATTGGACTTGCCACACAATTATACCAATGCAAAAATGGTACAGGCATCGAAAGCTCTTAATTAATAACTGTGGAAGTGCATCTAGAACACTAAGTTGAGAGCACGCAATAAGCTAATATGCGATATGCAAAAGCGAAGAAGAAGAAGAAGAAGACATTTGTGCCTTTGAGGTTTCGCGCTGGGGCTTCCTTAGAGTAGCATGGGTTATGATTGATTAGGTGAATTAGAGTTTTAATAATTGATTAAATTAGGTTAATGAGATATCATAATCATCAAACGAACTTAAAGAAGAAAATTTAGAAAGTCTTATAACATTAGGTAGATTAACAAAAGAATTAGGATGCGGGGGGTCCGCTTCTGGAGGCAACTAACCATTAAAGTCCTCCTATTTAGTCTTGAACTTCAATAAGAAAACGCAAGCAAACCAATAGCATTTAGCAAATTAACAAGGAGAGTTTAGGATATAATTTAAAGTAGAGCTATGTGACAATTAACAACTTTTAAACTTTTGGAGGTATTGTATTCCCCTGAGTTTGTTGTACTCGATTACTATATTTTTCTCTCAATACGCGAAATCCCTTATATATGCGGTTAAAGCATTTGAGTTAACTTATTTCCTAGTGTTCAAGTGCTTACATTTGTAAACAGCAGTCAATGTTAATCTATGAACCCTACGTAAAATCGATCTTTCCTTAAGTAGTATTGATGCATGTTTAACTTTTCGCGGCTGTCGGAATCAACGCGCCTACGTCTACGGAGCTTACGCAGAAGTGATACGCAATTCGGTAGAGCTTGACAAACACTTTTCAGCTTATGTAGTATAGAATTTGTTCGGTACGTTCGCGAAATCTTGAAATGATTTATACAATAGGCTAGTCCTTCTGTTGTATTGTCAAATATAGAAGCAAAATTTATTCAAATGGGTCAAGTCTTGAAAACTAAGCTATCACGCAGCTCGCAGCTTGATACCCAATAAAAAAAGAAGGAAGCAGTATTAGATTTCAAACAATATCTCATCAATTTGTGACTCTTTATCAACTCCATGGAATGGTGAATAAATGTAGAAGTCATCTTTGACAGAAATATTCCAGTTTTTGATCAACCCCGTTCAAAAGAGAGGTAATGCGCGGGTTGTGCTTAGTAGGACGGAAATTAGAGCAAAAACCCTACAAATTAAAAAAAAGTATTGTTAATAGTTATAATTTTATGTTTTTTTAAATACTTTTTTATACTTAAAGGGTGTCCACGATGAAATTGCCACACTATGAAATTGCTCTAACTTTTTAACCGTTGGGTAGAATTTAATGAAAATTTGGGTGGAGTTAGTTCATAGTGCATTATTTACATCCTGCAAGTTTTAAAGTCCTGTGATCAAAACTCGCGGAAATGGAGTCGAAAGAACAGTTCGTGCGTGATAAAATCTTGCGCATTCATCACGATAACAAGGATCTCTCGCATCGTTCCATCGCTAAAACGTTGGGAATCGCTAATTCCACGGTGTCGCGAGTGATTAAGCGGTTCGAGGAACGGTTGACCACCGATCGGAAGCCCAGAAGTGAAGGAAAAAGTATTCCGTACAACACCAAAAATCACAACCGCGTAGTTGGGGCCTTCAACCGAAATCCGAACGCCTCCGTTAGGGATGTGGCTAAGAAGCTGCACCTAAGCCGAAGTTTTGTCCAGAAGGCCAAAACTAAGGCTGGGCTTCGAACGTTCAAGGTACAAAAGGCCCCTAATCGCGACGAGAAGCAGAACAAGTCCGCCAAAACCCGTGCCAGGAAGTTGTACCTCAACATGCTGACGAAAGTTGAATGCTGCATCATGGACGACGAAACATATGTGAAGGCCGACTTCAAACAGATCCCCGGCAACCTGTTTTTCACGGCCAAGGATAAGTTCAGCGTTCCGGAGCATGTCCGCACTCAGAAGATGTCCAAATTTGTGAAGAAATTCCTGGTTTGGCAAGCCATCTGCACGTGCGGGAAGCGGAGTGCACCTTTCGTGACCCAGGACACGATGAACGGACAGGTGTACATAAAAGAGTGCCTCCAGAAGCGGCTGCTTCCTCTCCTGAAGGCCCACAACGTCCCAACAATCTTCTGGCCGGATTTGGCCTCATGCCACTACTCCAAGGACGTGCTGAAGTGGTATGCGGACAATAAGGTCAATGTCGTGCCGAAAATGTTCAATCCTCCCAACACTCCGGAGCTCCGCCCCATCGAGAAGTACTGGGCGATTATGAAGCAGCACCTTCTTAAACGACCTAAGGTAGTGAAGACAGTCGAGGAACTGAAGAAAGTATGGGTTTACATGCAAAAAACGGTTGATTCACAGGTTGTGCAGAATCTTATGGCCGGGGTTAAGGCCAAGGTGCGGGCATTTGCGTATGGACTGTAAATAAAATACGAGTAAAATGGTAAAATGAAGTTTAATAGTTATTTCTCAATACCTGAAAATTTGATGGCAATCGGATGAAAACTCGAATTTTGCGAATCCATTTTGTGTGTGGCAATTTCATCGTGGACACCCTTTATAACACTTTTAATACATAATCTTATGAATTTTGAACCTTCTACTAAGTTTTCTAGGATTTAAAAAAATAGTTTGAAATTCTGGACATAGAGACCCATTCTGCTGCCAGATTGAATTAGCCTATTGACGCATCACCCGATACGATAGCCCAGCATTTTTTAGTCATTCATATTAGGTATCGTTATTCAAGAGACGTCATCCACCTAACGCTTCTACACCACCAGCATCTTCCACTCTGATCACCAAATTATTTGCATTTGATTTCCACCGAGTTATTAACACCAAGATGCGTCAATTTTAATTACCAAACCGGCTCCAAAACCCAGAAAAGTCGTCATCCCAAGACCTGTTTCTGGACTGTGCAGAGCTGCTAGGTTGGGTCATAAATTTTCACCCCATTTTGCACGTCTCTCATCCCGTGCGTACGTGTGTGTGTGTGTGCTGTCTAATTGATCGAGCTCGGAGAAGCGAAGAGAACCGCAGAAAGAAAGCCGTTTGACAATACCTTCTGCGTCGCGCAAATGACTCCGCTGCTGGGTCCAGGTCACCAAATTGGATTTCCTGCACGACCTAACGGAAATCGTTACCTGTTGGCTCATTTCTGCATGCGTTGCTGTTGGTTCGTTAAGGTTATAATTTTGTTTATTTTACAGCCCTCGTATAACGTGTGCCATCCGGCTCTTCAGTTATGACTTTCTAATTAATGCCATCTTTTCTTTCGCTTTGTGTCTCCCGCAGATCCCGCAGAGTATTCCGGTGACCGAGCTATCCGAGACCATCGTCGGTACGGGAAGCGGCATCACTCAGCTTCGATCCGATCCGCCCAAGCCGATCCGGTTCTAGCGAGAAAACAGCTTGAAAGTCCAGCTCGAGTTAACAATAATCATCGGCGTCAGAATTTTACTGGCGGACAACCTGTTGCCATTGCCGAAGGTGGAGAAGAAGAAGAAGAAGAACAAGCCCCTCCGCCAGCAGTCGTCCGATCGAGTGCGGTTGTTATTGACGGTGGACAATCGGTGGCACCGTCTGTCATCTACGAAACGTCATCGTCATTGGCATTGCGCTATGATGGTGGATTGAATTCTCATCGACAGAATCATCCGCACCAATCAGTAGTAGCAATAGCAAGAGCGGGAGCAATTGCCAACAACAACAAGGGTAATCTGCACCACAGTCAGCCTCAGCTGAGCCATCAACAATTGGCTGCGAGTACGACAAGTTCTGACTATAACCGGAATCATCAGCTACAGGCTAAAACTGGTAGCAGCAGTGGTCATATAAAATATCAACCACCGCAAAAGGCATCAACAGCAACGACCAAACGCAAGAGAGAAACAGGTAATTAGCATCATATTGCGCCCGTCGCTCTACCCATTTATCAGATTACATTAGCCTTTAGAACTTGAAGGTAGTGGTGAGCGGCGATTTTAATGCAAATCTCTAGTAGGATTTTATTAGTGGCGTTTCATGTCCGTCCCTCGCTCTATGTTCATATTGAAATGCTATCCAGTGCCATTATGCATCAGACGGCAGCAGCTGATGGCCTCGTTTTCTTCGGCCGAGTAGAAAGCAGCACCGTGGATGCCATTTTGGGGCAATGGCTTATAGGCTCTTGAAAAGCGCCATCTAAAGACGTGTCTTCTTTTTTTTAACGATAGCGCTCTACTACGAGATCTACGGTGGTGCTCGTTTATTGCAGATTTTCATATTTTTTCTTCTTCTCGCTGTAATTGCACTGGGTTAGATCTCGGTTTGGGGTCGGTGTCAGAGCCATTAAGTGATGCTCGTTATCGAGGTGCGCGCGAAATGTATGCTTCGTAAATTGAGGGTTTATCTCAGTATCGATTCGTTCGCCGATCGGCATGGCAGAAGTAGTGCAGGTTGAGTGGAATATGATCTTTTGAAAGCTCCTATCTTGAGAAGCACTCGAATTCCGACTTAGCGGGACCTAGTGCTTATGTTACATTTAAAATGTGTTGCGTTCATATTCTGTAAATGGGGGGGGAATCAACTTAATTCGCAAAATTAGGTTACATTGATTTTATATACAGTGGTGGTCTTTAAATTAGCACAATAGACCGATTTTCATACAAACTAGCCAACTTTGGCATGTTGCAACTATGTTTTGTTATGATCAATTGAGCTGAACTATAAATATGCTGAATTTTGCGTGTACGTAACATCAAGCGCTTGCTGGAAATTGACGGACTGGTTGAAAATGACCAACTATTAGCACATTTATAATTCGAAATTTCTGAAGTCTATTAGGGTAGGTGTTCCAGTAATAGTGGTGTACCGTATGCGTGAAAATGTTTGCACCATTGAGCAATGTCAAAATTAAAACAATTCTCAAAAATTTCGTTTTTTTTTTAAATTAATTCAAAGAGGCGATGTTTCTCAGAGTCTTAAACTATGTTAATCATCGATCGAGTTTCCACTTGCTGCAATTACGGCCTCCACACGCTTCCGGAATGCACGGCAGGTTCTAATAATGTAGTCTGGATCCATTTCTCTCCAGGTACGGGTCAATGTTTGTCTGAGGCTTGCTGTACTCGGGTGGCGTTTAGAACAGGCCTTGGCCTTCATGACGCGCCATATTACAGGGTTGGTAGTTAGTCACTTTTTAGTGACTTAGTCACTTTTTCAAGCCAGTCATTAAAAAGTCTCTTTTTTTAAGGTAAAGTCACTAAAGTCATTTTTTCTTGTAATCAGTCACTATTTTCAACTATTTTAGCGTGAATTTATTTCAAAATTTCTGACGTTTAATCGTCTTGCTCTATTTACAGGCTGTCTACTCATTTTTCTAAATAAAATTTCCTGAGTTTTCCAGGTTTTCGTAGAACTTTAACGGATAAATTCAAGGCTTATAATAAGAAAGCTTTTTTTAAAATGTGTTCAAAATATGCTTTTTCTGGAAGATCAACAGTAATTAACCCAAGCGTTTTTTAAGACATGGCAATCAGTTTTAAAGAAACAAGTTTGTAATCAAATCCAATGAATGTTGAACTTAATTTTGCACTGTTCACAGTTTAAAAAAACGTACTTAATTTGAGTAAGTCCAAATTCTAAAAACATTCAATGTCTTGTAGTTTCGTATTCCATGTACAAGTTCATGATATTGAAAATTTTCAAAGTGCCTGAATTAAGGAAAACATTAAATGATTTATATCAAGTTCGTAATTAACTTTATGAAATATTAGAGATCTTCATTGCAGTCCCATTAACTTCACAACAATTTTAGGAACTTTGAAGAAGTTCTGAGGAATGAAAGGAAATTCTGAGAATTTCAGTAAAGCTCCATAAACAAACGGCGGGAACATAATAGAAGTTAACACACTGAAATTATGGGGAACTTACTGGAAGCCATAGCGGTGCTTTTAACATTCTAAAATTTTCAGAAACTTTTATGAAGTTCCTAGAATTTCAGAACACATCGCAGGTGTTAAGCAAACTTGAAAAATATAGAAACCTTGAGGGGTATTGTGCAAATTTAAAAAAAATCTAAGCACCTCAGAAAAGCTAGATCTAGAGATCTTTGGGGAATTTCAGATCTTAAGTGCAGTTCCCATGACTTTAGTTCAGGCTTTTTAGAGCAGTTTGAATATCTTTAATCGTAAATTTAGGAAAATTTAGAACCCTTAAGATGTTCCGAGAATTTCAGGGAAGTACAGAGACCATCAGATAATTTATGAAAACTTCATAAATATTTCAGGAACTTCACAGAAGTCCAAAGAATTTCAGAAAAATTTATCTCCAATAGAATTAAGAGCTTTAGGGAAGCTTCGGGAACATCAAGACAGATCAGAGAATCAAGGGCAGTTCAAATAATTTAAAGAAAATTGTAGAAACCTTAAAGAAGTTCCGAAAACTTCAACAAAGCTCCGATAGAACTTCTGGAACGTGTTAAAAATTATATGAACATCCGGAAAACGTGAGAGTATTTTAAGGGTGTTATATCAAGGAAATATCAAGAACTAAGAAAGTTTAGCTAAGTTGATTAAAGAATATCAACGAAGTTCCATTCATTAAAAAAAAAATGCGAGAACTTTTAGCAAGCAGCGATGAATATCTTCAAGAAATTCCAGAGAACTTAGAATTTAGATAGTTTCATGATATTCAGCAAAGTTCCGAGTACTTCGAGCTAGCTTCAGAATAATCTCATTAACTTAAGCAAATTTGCAGCGACTTACAAGGACTTCCGTAGAATTATGGGGTATTCCAAGAATTCTATGATTGATCTTAAAACGTCGGGGAATTTTAAATATATAATATATATCAGAAAATTTGCCGGACAAACAAATTTAGAGAACTTCAGGTAAGCATAGTTCAGGGAAAATAAGTGAGCGTTTTTAATGGTTAGAATACTTAAGGAAAATTGTCCAAACTTCAAGGCAAATCAAAAAATTTCAGTAAAGTTGCGGGTTGTTAAAAAATACTGATAAATTCAGAGCAACCTAGAGAACTTTAAAGAAATTCGTTTAGGCAGTTTTAATAACACCCGCAAAGTCTAGACCATTGAAGAAGTTTTAAATTAGTGTCGATAACTTAATGGAATTTTCATGAACTTCAGAAAAATCATGAGAACTTAAGTGAAAATCATAAACCTATACTAATTATTTCATTCTAATTCCATGAAAATTGCGGGAGCACAAAAGTTCCAGAAATTTAGAAAAACTTCGAAAACTTCACAGAAGGACAGTGGTATTCAGAAACATTTCGAGAACTTCATAGGAATAATTTAGGAAGTTCTCAGAATAGTCCATTACATATTCAACGGAAGTTTCGATGAAACTATCCTCCAAATTCAATTTTCTTTTAGTTTTTATCGGAATTACCTTGAAATGCTCCACAATAAGACACCCTTTGAAAAGAATTTTCATTGAATTTATTTCAGATTTCCTTCTGAATCTCACTCTTTCCATTGGAATTCTGCTCACATTGAAAGTCTCCAAAGAAATCCTTGGCATTTCTACTCACAAATTCCTTAGATTTCTTCTCATAATTTGTTTGGCAAACTCTCCTGAACTTATTTTCCAAATTCCTTTGAAGATGTCCTGGAATTATTCTCAGATTTAATTGTAATCCTTCTTTTAGTATTTTCAAAAAAAAAAATCCAAGGACTTATGCTCCGAATTTGTTTTCTCTTACACACTTTATGAAATAATTCTCAGAATGCCCTTGGAATTTTCTTTTGAAGTTCACAGGAGTTGTGGTCCTCAGAAATTCCTAAGAGTTTTCAATAAAATTTATTTTTAATTTAATTCAGAGTTACTTTTTAGTCACTATTTTTACAACTATCAGTCACTATTTAGTCACTTATTTCTTCAACATGGTCACTAAAATCAAAATTTTTGACAGCAGTGATGGCTACCAGCGCTGATATTGAGTAATCCAGCGGATTAAGATCGGAGCTGGATGGCGGCCACAAATCCTTCGCCCAGAACGGAAGTTGTTCCTGCAACCACTTCTGAGTGCGGTTCGAGGTGTGGCACGGAGCCCCATCTTGTTGAAATACAACATTTGGCTTCGGACCGTTCTGTCCTTTAATCCACGGAAGAACATACTTACTTAAAATCCCGCTGTAGACCTCCGTGTTGACCTTGCCGCCTTCTGGAATGAACACCGGGACCATTTTTTTTGCCATCGGAAGCCACCAATCCAAACACCATAACGCTAGCAGGATGCTTGGTCAGATACACGTTCTTATTTAACGTCGGTCTCTGTTCCGCAATCTAGTGCCAATCACCGACGCTCATCGATTGCCATCCATTGTCGGCAATCGAATGTGAAGGAAGGCAGCTTCCACACCTGCATAGGATATCGCACCCATACAACACACATGGCTTGGGACCAACGGCTTTACTTCCCTTCCGAAGGAAGACGTGACCAGAGATTTTTATGCCTTAGAAAAATCCCACCGACCTCGACTGGGATTGAACCCAGACCCATTGGGGTGAGGAAACAGTCACGTTTACCTTGACCCCACCGGATTGCTGAATTTATATATGGGCCCAAATTAGGGACATTTAGACCGACATTACATCCATTTCCCCTATTTGAGATTTTACAGTTTTCAACGTTTTGAATCTATGTAAATAAGCTCAAGAATTTGAAAAACTAACCTAGCCTGTCTAAAATTTTCTTATGCAATCTTCAGAAAATTTCTCAATCCGAGGTATCAAATGTCATAGTTTTCCACTATAAATTACAAGTTCAGTTTATCACATGCAGCTCATTGGCCCATTCCACCCAGTTGCGTTTGGCCTAGGACCAATTTTTTTCACAATTTCGTTATTTTCGCGAATTTGAACTTTCAGTCGTGAAAATCACGGAAACAT